GAAGAACACAGGATCACTGAGGCTCAGAGCTGGTTTGAAAGCTTTGGAAGTGACCTTAAAGAACAATTTAGCCTACAACTGGTGCAGTAAGCTGCAGTGTTTAACTATGTCAAACTGAAACAAGGAGATTGGATGAATCCTAATTGCACATGCAGCTCCATCACCCAGATCTATTGTATCCCCATCTGTTTAATCAAAGGATATCAGTCCAAGCTGTGCTATTAGAACGGACTCCTCAGCTTCATTCCTGAGACACAAAAAATCACTTACTTACCTCAAATTGGGACTAGCAATTCTGTCGCTAAGCAATGCAATCATTAAGTGAGATGCTGTGTGACCATGCCAGTTGGTTCTGCTGCAGTTGTTAAGCAAATCATCCTGGATTGTTAAGCATGACATCATGTGACTGAGACCAGGGGTGGGATTCTACCAGTTCGCACCTATTCGCTAGAACTGGTTGTTAACATTCTAAGCAGTTTGGAGAACCGGTTGTTAGAAGAAATTACTGGCCTAATCCTGTAAGGAAGGCAGGAAGGAAACATTCTGGTATTGCTTACAGAAACTGCCTCTCCGTTAACCGTTATTACATTCTTGGCAGGACTAGACTTCCTATCTCTGGAACTTCTCTGGAGTTTTTTTCCCCTCCTTTGCTGGTACTTTGCTTGTGTGGAGTGACCATTCAAAGTTACAATGGCACTGTTAATAGTGACTTATGACCATTTTTCACACTTACAACTATTGCAGCATCCCCACAGGGACAAGAGGCCAGGCGAGGAGATGCGTGCCTCAATGTGAGTGATGTTGAGTTGGCCCCACCAAGCCAGTCACATTACCACCAAGCCACACCCACCAACTAAGCCACACCCACAGAACCGGTTGTTAAAAAAATTGAATCTCACCCCTGACTTGTGACTTCCTGCTGGCTTCCCCATAAATTTTGCTGCCAGCTGTTAAGCTTGCAAATGGCATTCACATCACAGTAACCGTCATAAATATGTTCCAGTTGCAAAGTGCCCAGTGTCCACAGGGACACTGCAAGGGCAGTAAGTTCAAGGACCAGTCATAAATCTATTCTTTCAGTGCTATCGTCATTTCAAATGGTTGATGAACAAGGCAGTGAGTAACAGTGGTGGTATTCTACTGGTTCAGCCCAGTTCGGCTAAACTGGTCGTAAAAAAATGCTACCGATTCAGCTGAACCAAAGGGAGGGAGGGAGGGAAAAAGGAGAGGAAGGAAGGACCACAAACCTTCGCACTAGATGCACCTTCAGAGCACAGCAATACAGGGCTGGAAGTACCTGGTGGTCATCTAGTCCAACCCCCTGCTCCAGAAAGTGAGTTTCTGTCTTTTGACCCCCTAGTCACATGACCACATAGCCACGCCCACCCAGTCACATGAACACATAGCTGCACTCACCCAGTCACATGACCACAGAGCTATGCCCACCAAGCCACACCCACAGAACTGGTAGTAAAAAAATTTGAATCCCACCACTGGTCAGTAAGTGAGTTTTACCTGTATGGTACATTTGCCAGTTTCAGCATATTGCAAGAAGATCTTTACTTTGAAAAAAAAATGGCTTCCTTCTCTTCTCTTGGTCTTTACCACATAAGTGTCTTGATATTAAGTGATGATTTCGATTTGCTCCAGTGGTACAAAATGGGTAAATTTCTTGCCACTACATTGTTTATGTAGCCCTGTTATTTATTTAGTTATTGGAATTATAGCCTAGTTTATTACTAGAGATGAACATTTGGCAAATAATAAAAATCAAATCTAGAATATCGATGAATAAATTAATATTATATATAATTAACATAATTAAATAATAATTCCTATTTAATCACCTCCTAATAATATCAACTTACTCTGACCACTTCTCTCTTTGAAGAATTTGATTACTTCAAAAAGCAGATTTAGAGTTAAGAGTCTTCTGCCAAGAAAAGTGGTTGTTTGAACATGCATATAATGTCTTACCACTAAGAACTAATTTTATCAGACTATTCCAAATTATTTTTAAGAATTTTAATAATATTAAATCTACAGTATCTTCCTAATATGATGCCCTCCAGAAACTGGGATACAACTCCCTTTATCTTAATATAGTAATAAGAATAGCAACTTTTTCTAAGTGTCTTAGCTCACAGAGCATAGCAATAGCACTTAGACTTATATACCGCTTCATAGTGCTTTACAGCCTTCTCTAAGTGGTTTGCAGAGTCAGCCTATTGCTCCCAACAATCTGTGTTCCTCATTTTACCAACCTCAGAAGGATAAAAGGCTGAGCCAGTCAGGATCGAACTCCTGGCGGTAGAATTCAGAATTATCTTGCAATACTGCATTTTAACCACTGCACCACCATGGCTCCAAACCATAATGTTTGGCTTTGCCTTAATGAATTAGGAAAATCCAGCTACTGTAGTTTGTGAGCCATGTCTGAATCCAGAAAGTCATAAGTAGTTTAACAAACTATGATGAGCTGAAATGTGGACCTAGGCTATGCAGTTTCATATAAAAATTTCAGCATCCTGGTCAAGTTGTACATACTGCTAACTTCCTAAGTGAACAGAAGGTGACACAACCTCAAGACTGTACAAAGTTAAATACAGCATTTTTCTATCAATTTCAACACATGATATCTATGTGCAGTTCTTTATAGCTTCAAAATATGAAAACAATGAATATGGTAGGTGCTAAGTTTGAACACTTTGTAATACATTCTTTGACAGAAACAAGAGTTTCCAAATGTTTTGCATAGCAAAATATAAGTCTTTCTATTCATGATTTTTGGAAATGTTTTCTGTTTTTCCTTACAGGAACCTTGGGTCATGGTTGCATTAAAGGTGCTATATTATCTGTTGCTAAACTTTTCAATAGGTGATTCACAGACTGTATTCTTTTGCAAATCTGACAACTTTTCAAGTAGCTCCACCAGAGAGTTCTCTTGGTTTTTCAGATCTACTCTGGACTTCCAGAGTTCCACATAGCTTTCCTCTCACAATGTTTCTCACAGCTAAAATTGCTAGCATTCCCCTACTTTGCAAGACATAATTATCTTCATTTTCAAATACTCAGCTCTTTTAGAAGAGTCAAGGACTATTAAAATAAACAAACATCACAGCCTGATAGATTTGAAGGTTCAGAATGTTTATATATCCAATGGAATTTTCTTCACCTAGGTAATTGTAGACTTAATGACTCAATCACCTTCAGGGGCCATATTAACCACTGTACTGTAAAAACTATAGTATCAAATCAAATTAATTTCTGCACCTGCCAATAGTCACAATGTTCTTATTGTGAATCTATAATCAACTGCTCCTAAGTTGTTAAGAATGCATTTAAATTTGTAGAAAGATAGTGAGTTTAACATTATACTGTTGGAAGTGAAAATCCACTCCTCTCCTAGAAAATTGAAATATCCTAGGAAACATTAAAAGGGCAGAATATTTCCCCTAAATAGAGTAGAAATTCAGAAGCAGAAACTCACCTCAGAAGCAGAAACTCAGCCGCCCTCCACCTTTACTAATGGGCCTTTACTCTGGCCAGCCTATTTTACATAACAAAGATTTCCAGGTAGAGCTAAAGGAATTGCCCAAAGCCCTTTCATTACATCATCACCCAGCAAGGCTCAACCAAGCCTAGGACTCAAGACAGCCTACAGAGTTGCCCCAGCATGGCCCCATGGGAGTCTGACAACCAATCAGAATACAAGCTCAAATTCAAATCCCAACAGATGGTATATAAGGGACTCTCAGCATCTCAGCCCTTCCTACTTTTCCTTCACCCAACATCTTGAAGCATGTGATCATCCCTTCCTTCTTTGGAGTTCTAAGCCATGTGGTCCTGTCCACCATTAAACCATCTTTCCAAACAGCCTCCATGTTTCCAGTGTCTTTTTCCCCACTTGGAACTGGACCCAGAAGGATAATTCTTCCAACAATACTATGTAAGGGTTGTGATAGCATCTGTTCTTTTGAGGATTTATCAACACTTACAATCTGAACAGGATGTCACAATATTTTGCATACAACAAGAACTAAATAGATTTATGACTGTATTGATTCCCTGCCTTTCTACCAAATAATGGTACCCAAGGTAGCTAATAGTACACAGAATAAAATGCTCACAAATTAGGGACAAAACAACAACAACAAAGCTATTTTTCCTGTTCTCAAAAGCCTGGCTGAAAAAAACACACCTTTTTATTGTTGTTCTTTACTAGTAGAACAGAGTAATTTAGTCTAATCTCTTTTCACAGGGACTGCTAAAACTGAAAACAAAAACTGAGTAAATGCTCTCATTGCTAACTTTATCTTACAGGCAGGGGTGGGATTCAAATTTTTTAACAACTGGTTCTGTGAGTGTGGCTTAGTTGGTGGGAGTGGCTTGGTGGTCATGTGACTGGGTGGATATGGCTTGGTGGTCATGTTATTGGCTGGGTGTGGCCAACTCAATATCACTCACAGCGAGACACGCATCTCCTCACCTGACCTCTCATGACTGTGGGGATGCTGCAACAGTCGTAAGTGTGAAAAAGAGTCATAAGTCACTTTTTTCAGTGCCATTGTAACTTTGAATGGTCACTCTACACAAGCAAAGTACCAGCAAAGGAGGGGGAAAAAACTCAAGAGAATTTCCAGAGAAAGGAAGTCTAGTCCTGCCAAGAATGTAATAAGGGTTAACGGAGAGGCAGTTTCTGTAAGCAACACCAGAATGTTTCCTTCCTGCCTTCCTTACAGGATTAGGCCAGTAATTTCTTCTAACAACCAGTTATCCGAACTGCTTAGAATATTAACAACCAGTTCTAGCGAATAGGTGCGAAGGAGGGAAGACAGCTAGATGTTGTGTACTCTGTGGTTTCTGCAATCTCAGCCAGGTTGCCCAACAACCAAGCATTGCAGTTCAGTAACATTTGGGGGGCGGGCACAACCCCGTCAATTTCCATACATCCTATTATGTTGCCTCACATCCTTCACCCTCACATCTGAGATACCTACCTCTATCTTGCCAGCTGGAGAGAGATCAAGCCATTGTTCCATTACATGCTGTAAGTCCACATCCACAAGAGGCAGACACACCTCACCAATTATGTCATGCTTGGAAAAGCGGTTGAAATCATACACTTGCATGACCAGTATAGCTTCAGTCACCTCTGCTTGGGAGACCTAGAGAAGAGAGTAAGAGGAAAATTTCACTCCTACCAGTAAATCTGAACGATATGGGAAAATCATCCTGCAAAATAAGAATGGTGTCAGAAAGTTGTGTCCAAGGTCCATTTTGCTCAAGATTGGTTCTCCAACATTGGTTCTCCAACAGGTTGGACCAGGGGTGAGATTCTACCGGTTCTGTCCAGGTCTGTAGAACCAGTAGCTCTGAAGAGCAGCAGACATAGAACCGGTTCTATGTCTGCTGACGTTTTGGCCAACCTGTCCGCCCGGGCTCTTACCTGACCTTTATTTCTTGCTTTTTCAACCTCAGCTGCTGTGCGAGGCACAGCTGCAGTTGAAAAAGCAGGAAAAAAGTGCTGTTTCAAACACTGCTTCTCTGCACTCAGAGCAGCTCAGCTGTCCAGGCAGCAAGCTGATGACGATTTACAGGTGCACACACAATGTGCAGGAAGGCACATCGTAAATCACCAAACCTCATAAATCACCGAACTGGTAGTTAACCCTGTCGGATCCCACCCCTGGTTGGGATCTGTATAGCTCCTGGGACGGATGAGAGGAAATGGGGTTACCAAAGTCAAATGCCACAATGAAGAAGGTGTGATTTCAATGGACGACAGGGTGTCAGGATTCCAGCAGTTACTCCAATTAAATCACGAGCCTCAAGCCACACTCCCAAAACTAAAAAAGATTTATTTAAAGGTAACATTCTATATCCAGCATAGAACCTGGCCATGGCCAACTCTGAGACATGTAATTCACTGTCATCCTTGATCCTGCTTTTTCCCCCAGCCCTCTGGCTGTATCATCCAATGAAAAATGTCCATAGCCAAAAGTCATCAATCATGCTCTCCAATTAGATTTTTGCACGGTAGAAGTTTCAGTCATCTAATCAGTGTTTGAAGAAAATATGAATGGAATGTACTTTCGATTCTACACTGCCATCTGCTCTTTGAAACTCCCCCTTCTTTCTGTTGTCAACTATAAAACCTGTATACAAAATGTTTTATGAGTTAACACGAGGTTTGTAAACTCAACATCACAAATCATACTAAAGTCAATTAAACTAACCAAGAACATGAAATAACAATGAAAAATTTGTAATGAATATTTTTGCAAATTTCTAACCTAAATTTTAACAATACCAAACTGAATTGAAACAGGTCAATGAACTTATAGAGGGCCTTGCATCCTACCTGAAAAATGAAGCTCTCGTTGTAAACAGGATTGAGTGTCTTACGATGAACTTTTGTTTCATACTTCTTCCTTATGTCAGATGTCAGGAAAACAATTACGTAGGGATCAGAGGTACCTCCACTGTCCATGGCCTTTAGATCTGCTGCCTGCTTCACTCCAACTTTCAACTTAGAGAATCAATTGAAAAATATGAAATTTCTGAAATTAACAATATGTATTAAGTTTGCAAATCTGCAGAAATGGGCTATGAGTGGAGGAGCAAACCAAAATGCTGTAGAAAAGTAAAATTTATAAAAGTTGTGATATTAGATGGCAGGTTTTTGGTTAGAGCAAGGGAGTTTGTATTTTGGCTTGAGAATTAATGTAAGACATGCTAGGGTCATTCTGACCTGAATGGAACTGGTTAATGATCCATTGTGTTCAGAAGAACATAATAGGAAGATGCCATGAGAACAAGGGCAGTGTCCAAAGAAAGGGAAACAGGTGGTAAGTTATGGGTGTGGCGTAGGGAATTACGTAGTTGGATAGATTGCGAACCCAGGAAAGGGGCAGAGACTGTATATTTGCACCTGTATATATTCCTCAGCCTTCCTGGGGGAGGGAGTCTTCTGCTATGAGCAGAATTCCCTTTTGCAAAAGCTTAATAATAAAGCTCTTTCATATTGTTCACCGTCTCTAGATGTGTTTTGTGATTTTTCTCACACCCACATGAAAACAAAGCATGTGAAATGTAGGGAAGGAAAAGTATTTCTATTTAATATTGCTTTGTAATAAAAAAGGAGTGCAAATTTGTCACCCTGAGAAATATACCTCCTGGCCACGGAAGTCATATTCTAGGGAATATTGCAGCCGTCCTCGTTTCTCATCTTCCAGTCCACATTCAATGTCTTCCAAATCAGGTTGGACCTACATCAAAATATTAGCATCTTTCATTCAAACATTCAATGCAATTCATATAATAAATGGTCTATGAAGTATGACCGACTTTGGGTTGACTATATATATTATATGTCATATTACATTCAGGAACTCAGTGTCCCGTCCCATTTTCCCCCCCGTCCCCCCCGCCTCCTATTTTTCCCTATAACAACAATCCTCTGGTGCTATCAACTATCAGCACTAGAGGTGCTATCCTCTATTGCTATCAACGGCAATGAAAACATTGTACTTTGAAAATGTACAGGTAGTCTTTATTTAACAACAGTAACTGGGACTGAAATTTTCACCTTTAAGTGATGCAATTGTAAAGTGTGTTTGGTGATATTACTTAGTGGCAGCAGTTCTGGCCATCCCTGGTTACTATTGTTAAGTGGTTCCTCGTGGATTAAGTGAGGACCTCATGTGTCTACAACTTCTGATTTTCTGCCAGTTCCTCATTGCTTTTGCTTGTGGGAAGGCAGAAGAAGAGATTGCAAACTGCAATTATATGACTGTGGGACACTGTGTTGGGCAGAAATCCGGGCTGGTTGCTGAGCACCCTGTTTGCCCTCTGGGTCAGCCAGACCTCTGAGGACCAGTCATAAGTACCCTCATTCAGTGCCATCACAAGTTTGAATGGTCACTGAACAAGTGGCTATTAACTGTGGATCACCTGTACTAAGAAATAGGTATTTGGAGCCAAGGAGTAAAAATTAGACCTGTGTATGATTTCATCAGTGATCTATCAAAGATATTAATATACTCCAAGATTGAGCTTCTGTGTCATATCAACTGTTTCCAATCACTTAGCTACCAGGGACATCTACACAGATGATCAAATGTCAAGATAGCAGACACAAGTGAACAACTGAAGCTCTGCCTCCTTCTTAATAAGTATCATAACTTTGATTATGCATTCATGTCCTCTGATTTGGTTTTTTTTTACTCTCTGATTGCCTGTTCTTGCTGAACCCCTACTGAGATCAGTTGGATTGTATCCATCTTGTTTTCCTTTCCCCCTGCCATGTATTTGTACTTCAAGCCTAGAAGTCAAGCTATCTCCTAACTGAAAACTCATTGAAGGTTCTCCAGGGGTTTCAGTCCTCTTGAAATTGGAACTTAAAAATCAAAATGCTATTCTATTCAAAAACCCAAGAGTACCTACCAAGCTGGCTGTTGTGGAGGCACCATTAATGTTTCTTAAGTTGAGCTTCTCCTTCTTCTTGTGTTTCTTCTTGCAGCAGCAGCACTTGATGATACAGATAAGGAAAAGTAGCAGAACTACGCCTGCTGCTATAGCAATTGCTATGAGAGCCCATCTGGGTACTGTTTCAGCAGCAGGAGACAAGAAAGAGGGAAAAAAATCATGTAATGCAAATCAGGGAATCGTTTCTGGAAAGTACAAAGATTTGGAGCAGAAATGGTATTCAGCAGGTTCTGACCAGTTCTGGAGAACTGGTAGCAGAAATTTTGAGTAGCTTGGAGAACCAGCAAATACCACCTCTGACTGGCCCCACCCCCATCTCTTCTCTGCCTCCCGAGTCCCAGCTGATTGGCTGGGTCTTCTTTTGTTGCCCTGCACAGGAGAACGGAGCTGGAAAGCAGGTTAGTGGAATGGGGAGGGAATGGAATTTTGCAGTATCCTTCCCCTGCCATGCCCACCAAGCCACGTCCACAGAACCAGTAGTATAAATTTTTGAATCCCACCACTTATTTGGAGGCTCTACTACAGAAGTCCACAGCCCCTAGTCCATGGGCTGGCACTGGTCCTTGGCATGCCAGCAACTGGCTGCACAAACAACTGAAACCTCATCCGTGGGATACAGGCAGCATGCAAAACCATGCCTCCTCTGGTCTGCAGAAAAACCTTTCTCCATAGAATTCTTCCCTGGTGCCCAAAAGGTTGCGGGGCGCTGCTCTAGTATCATTTCCAAATGTAGACAAATCATAATAATTATCTTCAAAATAGGAGATGGGGCTGGCTATGTCAAAGAATTAAGCATTTACAACAATTAACACCTAATCTAGTATCTGCCAAAGATTTACAGATTTATTAAATTTATTTTCTGCCTATCTTGCCATGTAAAGCAGCTTACAATAATAATAATAATAAAAAGAAAGAAAATGAAAGCGGTATAAACAGAAGTAAGTTAATAGAAAAATAAAATAAACAATGAAAAAGGAACACAATGAGAATACATTAATATGATAACCAAAAAGATAGGGCCGGGGAACATAGAGTCTGCCATCAGTCTAGCAGCCACCTCCAGTGTGGAACTCCCCCATTTGGTACCTAGGCCAAGAGCCAGGTCTTTGGTCTTTTGTGGAAAGATAGGAGGGAGGGGGAAGATCTTAGTTTAGAGGGTAAGATGTTCCAAAGGGCAGGCCCTGAAGCAGAGATGGTTTTTCTTCTGAATCCTGATAATCAGAGATCTCTGACTGATAGGATCTGAAGTAGGGCCTCTGCTAGCACAAGGAGGAAAGGCTAGTCCTAGCGGGATGAGGCGGTTCATCAGATAGCCTGGACCTATGACATTAAGGGCTTTAAAGGCCATAACTAATACCCTGAACTGCATTTGGAAGCAGACCATATTAGACTACCATTTCCATTACCCTCAGCCAAGATGCCTATTGGCTGACACCGTTCACCATGTCAGGAATTAGAGTCTCCACATCTGGAAGGACACCAATGATAGGAGTTACCATAAATTATATTTTAATTCTCCTAATCACTATGCCAAAAGGGTACAATAAATTATTGAGTCCGTTCTTTTTATTTTTTTTAAAAAAGATTTTTGTTTATTCATCTAATGCCACCTTCCCAATAGATAAATAATTTGTCCTTCATCTTACCATGCCAAAGTCAATTAGCAAAAGATTAAAAAGGACATGCATAAACAGAGTTATGGTAATAGCTTATTGATGCATGACATCTATGGTATTTGATAGGGATGACTTTTTTTCTTTCCCATGGTCTTTCAATTTCTCTGTAAGATGGCAGATCTTATTATCATCCTGAAGGAATGCCTGAATTTGAATACTTCTGAAGGATGAATGAAAAATGGGACCGAAAAGAATGAATGAGGAAGATTGCAGAACCAAAGAATGTGTTGAAGATGGGCTTGGACACTTTGATCCATGATGAACAGATATGGTAGGGACTACACTAAATGCTCTTCTTTTCATATACATTAATAAAGCACTTTTGTCCTTTAGAATCACAAAAGGGAGGAGATAAATGTTTCCACTCATTCACTGTGTTAAAAGAGAGAGAGAGGCAAGCTCTCCCAGCAATCCTATTGTTTCAGAATGGAGAGTTTGATTTCAATCCAGGAGTACTTTTAAAGTCTGATTTTATAATCTCAGCAAGGTTCCCAAGCATTATGTATGTGTTGCCATGAGAATTAAACAGACGACTAATTTCCCTTGAATAACAGAACAGAATAATGTTCTAGAATAAACAACTATGCAGAACATTAGGAACATACAAGGAAGACTCCTCTTCTGTTGCTAAAATGGTCTGATCAAGGTAAGTTTACAAATAAGAATTTTTTTTAATCTCATTGATTATTCTGCCTACTTTCATACATCGAATAGCTTTATTAACCATGGGTTGTGTTACATTGATGAGCCACATCCGACACTTTAAGCCTTGTTCTATAATAGCTTAATGTAATGTAAAGTCATTGACAACCATTTATTCATTCATACATACATATTCATTCATTCATTCATTTATGAAAATTTATATGGCTGCCCAACTCACCCTCGGTGACTTCAGGCAGCTTGCAAAGACAAAAAACCAATATAAAAAACTCAATAAAAAAACAATAACCTTCCATCCACCTGGCAACAACAATCAGTCATCCAATAAGCCACTTAGTAGACTCCATCTCACACTGTTTCCCAGGTCTTTAGGGCAAAGCCAGGTTTTTAGGGCCATGTGAAAGTGTATCAAAATGGGGCCAGTTTATCTCTTTTTCTTCTCTATACCAAACTCCAGGGCTTACTATCAAATGTAGAGCTGATGTAGGAGCAGTGGACTTTAAATAAAAGCTTCCAGAGCTTATTTGTGTTGTTTAGCAGTGTCTACATGACCAGATATGCTCTACTTTTATATTTGTAAAACAATCTTAAAATTCAAAATTGAGGGTGTCTTCTTGTCTGATCTAAAAAAAACTAGAAGGATCAACAGAACTAGTGGCTGCAGACATCTCAGTTGCAAAGCATAAAATAACTGCTGTTTTACAAAGGAATATTGGTTATTTTTACCATTGTTTGTAATGCCTAAACTAAGGTCTCCCCTCCTTTTGTTTCCCCTATACCGTTCTCTTCTCATTTCCATCCATCTTTCCATCCCTCCTTTCACATCTCATGGCAGCTATATATTCCCTATAACCTGTCCAGAGGTGGTATTCAGCAGGTTCTGACCAGTTCTGGAGAACCGATAGCAGAAATTTTGAGTAGTTCGGAGAACCGACAAGATTTTACAGTAGCTTCCCCTGCCATGCCCACCAAGCCACGCCCACAGAACCGGTAGTAAAAAAAAAGATTGAATCCCACCACTGAACCTGTCCTTCTCCATGTAACCCCTGTGCTTTGTGGCTGTTTCTGCTGGGTAAAAAAAGGAAAGAAAAGGAACAGGCATGTGCTTGTGTGTTTGAGCAGTTCGCATACGTGTGAAAAAAATGGTATGTCCAGATTTGGGAGAAAGGATTAAATTTAGAAATGGAATATGTATATTTTAGGTAATTTTTATCAATCTGACAATGGGGCCTTATTTTTCTAGAAGATGGTTTTTAATGAGTGCACACACACATTCTGCACCCACTTATTGGCCAGGATTCTTATGGTAGGGAAATTTCTATGAGTAGTTTCTAGGAATATATATATATATATATTTATTTATTTCATGGTCATCCTTTTTTTTAGTAAATGTATTTTTAGTCAAATGTATTTTTAGTAATGTATTTTTAGTAAATGTTTTTTAGTAAATGTATCTGGTATAGCTGTTAAGGCATCAGACTAGAAACTGGGAGAGTGTGAATTCTAATCCTGCCTTGGGCATGAAGCTGGCTGAGTGACCTTGGACTAGTCACTCTTTCTCAGACCTAGGAAGGAGACAATAGCAAATCACTTCTGAAAAACTTTGTCAAGAAAACTGCAGGGACATGTCCAGGAAGTCTCCAAGATCCAGACATGACTGAATGGATGAAAGAAAACAACAACAACAACAATAACAATGATAATAATGATGATAATAATGATAATGATAATAACAACAATAATAATGATGATAACAACAATAATGACGATAATAATGACAATAATGACAATAACAACTACAATAATAATGATAATGATAATGATAAGGATAAGGAGAAGGAGAAGGAGAAGAAGAAGAAGAAGAAGAAGAAGAAGAAGAAGAAGAAGAAGAAG